TATAGGTTGGGGCAGGGCCAGGCCCCTCTCTCATGCATTAAGACTGAGCAACTTATAATGATTTAAAGAATCTTGGTGTAGAGCAAGAATTATTTCAAAGTCTTTTTGTCATATTTTATCTACATCTATGTATCTATGTGTGTATGTGTCCATGTATGTATGCAGGTACATATGAATGTATGTATCTAGTGTGTGCCCAAGTTTTTGCATGCTACAGCATGTATATGGCCGTGAGAGAACAACGTGTGCAAGTCTGTTCTTTCCTCCTACCATGTGGGCATCTTCGATCAAATTCAGGTAATCAGGGTTGGCGGCACATCCCTTTCCTTGCCATTTCACCAGCCCAGGAATTGCTTTTAACACTCAAATGAAATCACAATCAAAGTTGTACTCCAATGTATGCACAAACATGTATATGCATGTACACACATGCATGCATGTGTGTGCACCTGCACAAACACACACCCCATTCAGTTCTCTTAGGTTCTTTGGCTCAGTATCCTTACCCACCATACAGGATTGCCAGAGACAAACAGCAAATGCAATGCTTAGCATGCAGTGAACTTCTGTTATCTGTGTGTAATCTGCTGGATATGTCTTCTAGCCTAGCTCCATGAGTTAGCACAGAAGCAGTGGTATCATCCACAGCTCTATGGAAGCTCACAAGGATGCTGTTATTTCATGACACATTAGAAATAAAGTCTTCAGACTTCAATATACCCATGAGCCTCCTTAAATTCCTCTCTGCCTTCACCTAAAAAATGTTGACTACTCTTTTGCCATCTACTCTTCTGACCTTTCTCTCCCTAACCCACTATTTAGTCTGTTCTGTTTGCCTGTAGTAGAATGATACACTAAACCATACACTTGGGGCTCAGAGCCCATGACAATAATACAACAATAACAAACCCTTGGAACAGTGGTTCTATCAAAGGGGCATGGTGAACCTCTGGCCATAAAATGAGGACTGTAACTGTCTCCTACACAGAGCCCCAAATCCTGCTCTATAGTCTAACTTCAGTTTAAGGACTGATCCATGATGACTTTGAGCTTTACCTTGGGACCAAAACACATTGCAGACAGGAGCTAAGTCTGTGAGGTCAGACCTATGATGAACTTCCTGCCCACCTACCCTACAGGTGACACGCAGAGAAATAATATATTGCAGTCTGGCCTTTGTTTACACATATCTAAAATGGGCAAGAACCTTACAGAAGTCTAGGGGATTTAAGTCCCCAGTAATATAAGTTAACTGTCTCTTGCTGTCACAGTTAATTGCTGTGCACACCCTTTCCCCTTTTTGAGTTATATGGCAGTGAGAGTTAGACATTTGCTTGTTGTTCTTCCTCTAATACAGGTCATTAATATTTGTATGATTTTTAATATTTACTGAATAATAATATTTGACTAACAGAATTCAATAATTGTGAAACATTGGCTGACCCAGCCATGGTGAACTTGGTTGTTGTATTTCTTTTGGAATTGAACACCTGGGAAAACCCTGTTGTTTACTGCAGGCATGGTTGCCAGTGTGTGAGTAAGCTAAGTAGAACAGGAAGCCAAGGTGCGTGTTTCATGCTGAGCTTGTGGTGTGATTTGATCCTACTTAGCGTCTGGACAAGGGCAGCACACACACAACAAAGAGCCTGAAAGAATTTATTGACTGAGGAGGTGCACTCTATAGATTTATGGCAAAATGGATACAACATGATTTATAGAGGGAAGCAAATTTGAGCCCTTCACTGGCTTTAAGCTCTAGGAACAGGACGCCCAAATCCTTCCATAGAGAGTGCTGAGTTTCTGTGCTGTTCTCCAGGCTGGTTGTCAAAGTGTAAATCATGCTATTTCTTGTTCAAAGATAAGAGCTGAGCAAGTACAAACAAATGTCAGGAAATAAGCAGGACACAGGTGTTATGTGTAAAAGTAGAGGTCATGCAAGTCATGTGGTGACAACATCTCAGAAGTCCTTAATTTATGCCTGGTGTAGTCAAGTGCCCTGTATGCCCCTGTGGCTCTCCTTGGGTTCCCAAAGCTGAGCTTTCCGTGGGTTGTATTTTGAGTATTTCATGATGTGGAGTTAGAACTGTAACAGAGCAGTAATCTCCATTGTTGTTATTATTTTAATTGACTGTGAACTTAGCAATTTATTATCATTGTAATAGTCACTATTGGCTAAATGATATCTAAATAATGTATTAGTTGTTTTCTGTCCTTCCATGATTAAATACCTCACAAAAATCAGGGAGAAGAAAGGTTTGATGTTACAGCTCACAAGATAAAATCTATAATGATGGGGAAGGAATGATGACAGAAGCCCAAGGTGACCAGTCACTCTGTGTCTGCAGTCATGAAGCAACAAGCAGGGAGAGAGCCCAAGCTATCAAATGTCAAGGCCCTCCTGCAGCTGACCCACTTCCCCCTGCAAAGTTTCACTTCCTAGAGGTTTTACTACCTCCCACACAACACTACCATTTCAGAACTAAGAGTTCAAACATATGAGTCTTGGGCAGTAGAGGAGATTAAATCAAAGAACTTTTGACTAGAGATGTAGCTCAGTTTTTAGAGCACTCACCTAGCACTGAGGAAGCCCTGGGATCGATCTCCATTAATATATAAACCATGCATGGAGGCCCAGCATTTGGAAAATAGAGATAGGAGGGTGAGAAGTTCAACATCGTCCTCACCTCCCAAATGAGTCTGAGCCTAGGCTGAAGATAGATGAGAACCAGTTTTGAAAAAGAAACTGAAAGATCATGATGGGTTGACAGAATTTGAATATAACAGTGGGAGAGATCTATGCCCATCAAAGTGATAATATCAAGAGGACCAAGGATTGTAAGTCATGCCATTAATAGATCTCAGCTGGTTCTCATCCACTCACTCATTCTTTTCTTAAAGCCTTGTTGTTGTTGTTACCTTAAATTAATTAAAACAAGCATGTTGTGTAGAAACAAAGTATAGCTTCTATTTCTGGCATGTAGACACAAGAGAAAGATATGAGAATGCCCATGTTTTCTCATGACAGCAGCCCAAGAAAGCTGAATAATAAAAAGTCTTTTAGAGCAAGTCCATCCCCTCCATTTTCTTATGGTCTTCATCACATTTTGTGGTGTTACAATTGATCTTTCCTCTGTATGTACCTACCTTTCTCCTGTTGAAGCAGAGTTTGTGATTTGGCAGCATTTTAAGTCCTGCCTACATACTTACCATGGGGTCTGACTGTGGGAATTTGAAAATCCATGGCCAGTTAGGGCAGAGAATGAGGTCCTAGAGACACTGTCTATGTAGAAATGCTGATATGGAAATCTCAGAGAAACTGTACAGGGAACTCTCAAAACAGAAGCTGTGAATAGTCAGGCACTAGGCACAGGCAAAGGTGTAAACGTGCCATTTAAGGTAAAGCAACAAGGATGTTCAAAGCAATAGCAAAATTGAAATCTGGATGTATCTGTGAGCAGGTACTGCTGTGGGTCATCACTGAAGTTCTTGGATAATGGACACCATTGGATGAACCATGTTCATTATTTCATCTGATTCCATCTGGCCTTGGAAGATACTTTTACACTCTTATTCTTTCCCACATTTTCTCTTACTCTTTCCATTTCATATCTCTCCATCCTATAAGTAAAACATAACAAGATAACACGTGCATCAGAGCTGCAAGTGTTCTCATGGAAGTTTCACCTGCTGCCCAGGAGCTGCTCTTTTGCCTTTGCTGGATCAGGGTGAAATACTGAAAATACTGTTTTCTTTCTCCTTCCAGGCTTTAGAATGAGACAGCGCCATGTTCTCATGGAATCAACAGGGCCCACGGGACACTGCCCTCATCTGGTAGAATCTGTGCCTTGCGAGGACCCAATGTGTTATAGATGGCTTGCTTCAGAAGGCATCTGTATCCCTGATCATGGGAAATGTGGCCTTGGACATCGAATCTTGAAGGCTGTCTGTCAAAATGAAAGAGGTGAGAGCTGGTGACACACTGTGGGGTTAACTTGTACCCAACAAGGGACAGTACTACTCTTCAAAGGTCATTTTCTGGAGGGCAAGAAGTTCTACCATTTCTATACTGGGCCAATTATGGTGAATTGGGTGACAAATTGCTGTAGAGTGAGCTGTGATCACTTCATGTGAGAACCACAGACTATCACTAAATGCACTGTTGGATTATGCTTTAACACACCACTCTGAACCCATAGAATTCTTTGGAGGTTTTGTTGTTGTTGTTTTGTTTTGTTTTAATTTATCAAGACAAATATCAAACAAAAGTGTCCCCCCATTTATGAATGCAGGACAAGTTTTATTTTCTTTTGTTAAGATCAGATTATGACATGCCTTTATTAAATGTTAACAAAATGCTACCTGTTAAAGATGCCGGGGTTAAAAAGAAAAGGAAAAAAAAAGATTAAGTAAACTCTTTTCATTTATATAACATTAGACCAGAATCAGCTCTGGATATAATGCTAACATTTTCAACAAGCCATTTTAAAATATAAGCTGTCAGGATTTACACAATTATTAACAATGATGTCTGTCCTTGATCACCAAGCTTTTGGTACAGTGCTTGTTGGAAATGAAGTGTGGTTTAAAAATATGTAAGTCATATGGCAGTGAGAAAAGTGACATTTAAAAATCTTTATCCTGGAGATTAAAAAGAACTCCATCTCTCTGAGGGACGTGGAGCGTGTCTCCTAATCAGCTCTGTAATGCGAGGCCCTGTTCACAATGCTCTTCGTGTGTGGGATGAAATGTTTTGACTTATGGAGCAAAGTAATCCACAGAATGGGAGGAAATTACAAAGCAGATTCAGAATGGATATTAACATCTTCACAGGGCTGACATCTGGCAGATTGTTGCTTCCTTTATTTCTTCCTCCTTCTTCTCTCTGCTGCCCTTCTCCTTCACTTTCTCATGTTCTTTTTCTTTCTCTAAAATAACAAACATGAGTAGGCAAATGTACATTTTTGTATTAAATGATTTATTGTTTCCCTGCAGAAAGCAGATGGTTGTTTAATTAAATAGAGGCAACAGCAGATTGCAATAGCTGCAATAAATAGTTGGAACTAACAGTCACTGCTCCTAATACAACCACATAACGTTTATGTGGGGGCAAGGTGTGCTTTATTAGAGCAGGCAAATAATATTGCTTCCATGGTGTTTTTCTAGTATTACAATTTATAATAAGCAAAGTATAATTTGTTCTTCTTCCCTGATTCTTGGAACACTCATTCTGGACTCCGTGTAATTTCTGACTTATAACATGAAGCTCATACGTTTCCATGGGTGATAGAAATGACTTTTATTCTAACAAGATGACTCTGGGGTGGTCTCTCTGTGTAACTGGTCCCCAGAAAGACCAAACTAGAAGTTAGGCACTTTTATTCCTAATCATCAGCCACAAGGAAGTAGAGATGGGATGGGGGTAGGCTCCTTATTAATTATCCCCATGGGTAAAAGCTCTACAAAGATCCATGGACTATGGAGTTCATAGATCAGAACTTCCTTCCACATGGCTGTGTGGAGATGTGGGCAGAGTCAGGTGTGACCAGAGAGGGCCTGGATGCTCTGTACTCAACTGAATGGCTTCTTACCCTATGCATCTCCTCTGTCTACATACATACCACTCTGAAAGTGCCTGGTCTTTCCTAATTTCATCTCTTTCATGTAGCTGTTTATCTCTATATTTTATAATATTCCTATAGTAAAGCTGTAAATATAAGTAAAAGGTTTCCTTAGGTTCTTTAAGCTACCTGGGAAAATTCTCTGAGAAAGGTTTGTGGTGAGGCTGACTTGCAGCATATGTGACAATCTCAGGATATTACTATCCAAGTGTGAGAGATTTGACTTGATGCCATGTCCATGAAAATACTTAATCAAAGTGGACTTGAATAGTAGGACACCCAGTTGGTGTGGAGGAATTGGTTGGTATAGAGAAAAATCCTACAGGTCCATCCAGGAAGCATTCTGTATTGAGTGTGGTGTCTGAAGTACAGTAGGGAAGGTTCATTTATGTGTCTTCCCTCCACCCTGCTTGGAATTCCAACCCCACTCACTACCTGCTGGATGGTCAAATTATTTAATGTATGGAGGAATATTTTCCTTTAGGTGTCCATATGAATCAGTAAAAACTACCTTCGATTGTTAAGGTTCTGAGAGTTAAAAAAAGGTATATGAATATGAATGTGATTAGTGATATTCCTGTCACCTCTCTTTTAAAAGCAAGCATATAATGCATATTTGCTAGTATGTTTGGTCTGCAGAAATGGGGCGCACAACAGTATTATATATAGTGCAGACAGTACTGGAGATTAGCACAAGTATTATCTATATCTTCTATCCTTCATCTGAGAAAATGGAAAACCCATTGGGTTGGGTCCTTTAGCAACTGGTCACAGTACTATGGTCCTCTTACTGCAGGTACTAGAGAGTTGCCATGACAACCTTTGTCCACAGCATTAGAGGTTTCTTCCATAGTGTTTTCCCTTTACCATGACACAGCAGTTTCAAAGCTTTGTGACTTATTCCTGTGAACAGATTTAAATTTAGCTTTTGACTGACAAGATCTGCTTCTATTGGGAGAGTTGGAATTCATTAATGCTCACATTAGCTCTGTGAAGTTTGTGGGTTTTTAAATACCTGGATGAACTTCACTTTTTATGAGGCAGCAACCACCATCATGGTGATGTGAACATGCAGACCTCCTGGTTATCGAAACAATCTCATGCCTGGTGAGAAATTGCAAATGCCGTCTGGTTGGACCTTCTGTGACTCAGAGGCTGTATTCTCCTGTGACTGGATGTGAAGGTTTGGCAGAGAAACTTCCTATCATACTTCCCACATGCTATCAAGGTCCTCACATAACCACAGCATAGACAAAGCTGCTGCCACTCAGTAAAATTGTTGAGAAAGGAACGCTTGAGATATACAGTTTCCTTGCTTGTGATAGTGGATAGTTGGCTTTTCATCACACTGAGTTTCTTAATTACTTTGAAGCCTTTTTGTTTCAGAATTTATTTCAAGCTACATGGAAGCAGCCAGAAGAAATTGTCTTAGCCTTGATCTGAGAAATTCCAAAACTCATATTAGATCCAATCAAACTTGAAACCTACTAGAATTTCCAAGGGCAGCTTGCTTTGTCTTCCTTCTGTTTGTCTATAAGTTCATGTCAGGATTCTAGATAGAAATATCCAGAAATGAATTCCACAATCTCATGAAATATCCATGTTCCATTCAGACTTAGAAGCTGACTGATTTTCCCCCTCATGTATATTTGTATGGTATACATGTGTGTTTGCATATATGTTCACATGTTTGTGTGTGTATGCATGTGCCAACCAAGGATTGATGTAGCAAGTTTCCCTCAATTGGTTTCCAACTTATTCACTAAGACTGAGTCTCCCAGGCGAAGAAGTCAGAACTTACTAATTCAGCCAGTGTGTCAGCCAGCTAGACAGGTATGCCCTCTCTCCACCTTCTAAACCCTGGTAGTATAGGCTGGCTATTATGATTTTCAGGCATTTTCTTGGGTTCTGGGGATCTAAACTACAGTCTTCACACTACAAAGCAAGGACTTTAATCCTGTAGCTACCTTCCCTGTACCCAAGAAAACTATATACTACACCACATACATGCACGTGCACACATGCACACAGATAGATAGATAGATGGATAGATAGAGAATTCTTTAGGATTACCTTTGTTTCTATTTTTATTGTACTTAATTTTAATTTTTTGAACCAAGGTCTTCTTTAATAGCCTAGACTGCCCTCAAATTTGTGATCTCCTGCCACAACTTCCAGTGTTAATATTACAGATCAGTGGGAGCCACTAGCCCAGCTCTCTCTCAGACTATTGTTGGTGTCCCAGGTGTTCCTCTTACCACAAAAAAGAAAAAAAAAATGAATGCATGAATGCACTTCCATTCTCAAAAGCTATGTTCATATCCTGACCTGGGAATCTGCACACTTACACAGTCTGTCGTACTGAAGCTGGGAAGTAACTATATGAAACAAAATTTGATATCCTTAAACCTGGTTGGTCAACTTAAGAATTGTGATCTGCTGGGACATGTTTGGGTGAAGTGCAGGCCACAGAAGCATGAGGGTCTGAACTTGATCCACCAGTACCTACATTAAATAAGCCTTGTGTGGCAATTTGTGCCTGAAATCCCAGCACTGGGGAGGTGGAAATTTAAAGGTCCCCTGGGGTTTGCTGGCAGCTATTCCAGCCAAATTGGTATAGTCTAGAGATCTTGATCCAGTTCATTTTCTCTGACAGTTAAATGATCAAAAGACAGGAAAAAAATATCAAACACAACAGACAGCAACGGGTTAAAAAAAACTTTGTTGTAAGTGAAAAAGCAGGAGAGTACATACAGACAGAACACCCCCAACACACACACACACACACACACGCACATGCATGTGTTGGGATGGGGTAAAGATGACAGACACAATGCCTAGATGCCTAGAAAGAAACACTCTCCAAAGAGCCAAAAGGGAAAGGAAACTAAAATCCCCCTTTCTCTTGGAGGGACTAGTGAGTTAAGTGTTTTTAGTGGTATAAGACCTCTTCCCTAACTTTGAGTTAGTCAGTTGAAACAAACAACAAAAAAGTGTGTGTATTGTGTGTATTGCGGGTGGTGAGTTGATAGGCAAACAGCTTGAGGTAACTGTGAATATATTTTAACAACAGAATAGAGTCATGCAGAAGTGGGCCCTCAGTGACAGGAAAAAAATTAAAAGAAGCCCAACAGGCCTTTCAGTTCAGGATGCTGAAGAAGCCAGGAATTTCCCATCTTCATAATCTCTCCTTGTCCCCTTTTCTATCTGCCTGTCAGGGATTCATCCAGCTAGTTCCTCAAGAACAGCAAACTCCAAGTTCTTGGGAAAATGGTCAGAAAACAATAGAAGTAGAAACCCAGTGTAGAGTTTGGCTTCCACACACAAGAAACTGATCTGTGGA